AAAAAAAAAAAAAAAAAAAAAAAAGAAGAAGATAAGTTCCGGAAGCATTACCTGCTGGCTTGGCTTGAAGTAGGGCATAATGAGAAACTAAACCAGATCTATGCAAAAGGAGGAAGAAAGTCCCCCCTTTATAGGCCCTCTCAGCCCTGGGGCTGCCTAATGGAAGGACTTAATCAAGGCCTAATTACTGGTGGGTCCCATATCAGGTCCTAGTAAAAGATTCTGGTTCCTTCTGAGATACCAGCCCATCTGTACTGTGCAGTCCATCTGCTGGTACAACTATATTTGGGTGCATCTACCTTGTCAGACTTCTTCTTGGTGCGTAACCAGTCCGCAGTAATGTCGGATCTCAGTTCCTGTCTGATTTTGGAACAAATAGATGAAATTGAAGTAGACTTGTCTATAAACCGTCTGTCACTACGAGCCATCCAAATTAACCAGAAAGCTCTCACTGGGAAAAACAACAACAACAACAACAACAACAACAACGATGCTCGGATGGTAATCTGATCGGATTCCTGGTGCTTGTCGGGTCTACCAGCGATAACAAAGTTTTTGTTCCAGACACCTTTCTCACCGTGCTTTTTTTTTTTTTTTTTTTTCTGAACAACCTCTCTAGTGCTAGTGGTGCTGGTAAGAGCAGACACCGCTACAACCTTGAGGAGAGACTCCATCTATTGGTGGGGAGCATCACCTGCTGGAAAACGGGTCCAACGTCCCTGTTACAGAATGGAACGAGATGAATCAGGAAACAGAAAACATGATAGAATATCTGAAAAAGCCTGCCAGCATTGATTACTCTAGATTTCCAGAGGATTAACTGAGCAGGGTGCTGAAGGGTGTTGCTGATGACAGTCCTCTCCTCCTTACAGAATGAACACGAAGGATATCAGGAAAATAGTTTGACTGCCAGCATTGATTGCTCTGGATTCCAGAGGATTGGCTGAGCAGGTAAAAGGAAAAAACAGGGTAGGGAACCTCTTCGCCCCACTATCAGGCGCCAAATATCAACTTTAACATCCTGGTTCCTTCCTCCCCCAGATATCTCCCAATGATATGAATCAGAAAGTTGTCCCATCCTGCCAGAAGCTTCTCCTCCCTTGAATCCTGCTTGAATCTTGCTTGTCGTTTCCCCTCTCCACATCCTGCCATTGGTCGCTTGCTGGCAAGGTACTATGGCCGTTACCCGGGGGGCACCAGGATCCGGCCATAGTCCTTATGCCAGTATTTCCATTAGGGAGAGGGCATGGGGTGGGAAGGGATCAGGGAAGTCTGAGGGGGGGCGAAGGGGGAAGGAGGATTCGATACGAGTCCAGTCCTTGAACACCAAAATGTAATTCCTTGCCCCTTCCAGAACTTGATTGCTGTCTGGGACGTCTCTACTCCATTCCACTTTGGCTATCCACCCTTCTCTATCTCCCCCCAACCATTCCTTACAGAACTTAGTGATTGCCCGTTTCACATCTTCGATCTGGTGGTAAAGATCTAGTTGGGGCTTCAATGCAAGCCATCTGCGTTCCAGTTCCAGCTGGACTTGCTGTTGGTATGTTCTGTGATCTATGCTCCATCTGCACATACTTTTTCCATGACCAATAGGCATCGCTGCCACCATAATGCCCGTAGTACAGCTCGCCTCCCCAGCCTGTACATGTTCTCTGTGAAGACCGTTACCTCCTGCATTGGCCAGTGTCCAATCAGGCACTGCATGAAGATATGCTCTATTGTTTCCACCTTCTTTTGAGCTGGAAAGTGCCTAAGACACCGCAGACACCAGGGCAATGCTAGCCCTTTCTGTTCCAAATCGGTATGGTCTACCAACCAGTCGTTGGTTGGCAAACAGCAGTGTGCTATTTGCCACTGCAGCGAGGTGACCTTAGCCAGTTTGGACTTCCGGTCTTGGAACCACTTAATTGGTGTGAGTTGACGGCGATCCACATTGAGGTGCTTGGCCCATCGGTCAATGATCACGTCGCTTAGATTGCGCTTAGGCCTCAGCATTCGGTATGTAGATTTTACTGACAACCTGTGTAAGCTAATCCGTTTCGCGGGAGGACCAGTTGACCTATGGGGAGTAACCCATTGCCATTCCAACGGGTCAAAAGCTAACTCATGGATGGAAAACCGTATATCCTTCCCCATCCTCTAGAACCCTAACTCAGTATAAGGCATCTCGCTCCTGCCATTCGAAGGGGGTTTGACTACCGTGTAGCCTATTGGCCCTTGTAATATTGTAAAACTCTACTAGAGCCATACCTGGGTCAACCATATGAATACGGCCCACCCGTTCAAGGTTCCCTCTGGCTGTCATCCAGTTCCCTCCAATAAGGGTAGGTCCTCGTCACATAATTTTGTGCCAGGCCAGGGGGATTGTCTCAATGATCATATCTGCATGTTATTCGATATGATGACAATACCGAAGGGACTCTCTTAATTGATCCACTGTCTTCCAATCTTTCCGCTCATTGTCCCACAGGTCCTTGATTCGTAGTATTCCCCTCTGACCCAACTTTTCCACGGCGCGGTGGTGCTGCTCCTAACTCAACCCTGGGAGTCCGTGAGCCACCGGTTACCAAAGAGCGGTTGTCTACATATTTCTTCCTATCGTTTCGGGTGGGGCTTATCCAGAAGGGGTAGCTTGCGCCGATTTTTTAATAGGGATAGCCAGAAGTTATCCGGTGATTGATTACACCCTTACTCTTCCTGCTGCGTGTTCCTTTGCCATCGTGGAATGGTCTAGAATCGGTCCTCTAACCATGTCGTCGGGTGAACATCCTGGGTGGTTGTCGGGGCCAGGCGGGCCAGATGTTCTAGTGCCAAGGTCACCAAGGGGCAATCCAAACCAAGCCATAGTTTCTTAATTCATTGTAGCTGCAATGCATCTGTCTGAATTGCCACGTCAATCAGCCCCAATCCCCCCCTCCACCTTCGACTGTACGACTGATTCCCATGCTACGCGGCTGATTGCATTAGTTTTTTCGCAATCTCCTCGCCAGAGGAGACCACGACTTTGGTTCTCAATGCTTTCACTGCCACTTTACTCAGGGGCCAAAGTAGCGATTTGTACAATATGGATGCCAAAACCACATTATTAATTACCAACACCTTGCCAAAGAGGGAAGTGGGTTTGTCCTTCCATGCCATCAACCTGTTCAGGGCCGGAGCGCCTATCCATTCATCATTCGTAGTCGGACAACCCATAGTTGTCATCGATACACCCATAATTCTGAGTGGTGCTTCCAAGGGCAGCCATCGCACTGGGGGGGCGTTCCGGTGGGCGCCCTCTTTGGTATGTATCCACCACCCTTGTGTTCTACTACCCCAGTTGACTGTCATGTCCGAGGCCCCCGAAAACCTATGCATCATCCGTTGAATCTCCTCCATGTTTTTGTGAGTTGCTTCCACCAATACCGTGAGGTCGTCGGCAAATAACGAACACATCGGGATCGCATCTTCTGGGATGTTGGTAATTCTAATTCTAGTGATGTCCTTGTTGGCCTGCAGATTTGCTGTCAAGGCTTCAATGATAACCAAAAATAAAAAAGGGGGTATTGGGTCCCCCTGCCACACCGACCGCTCAAGTTGAATAGCCGGTGTTAGGAAACTGTTCACCTGGACCCTAGTAGTTGCATTTCGATGAAGTATCTGGACCCACTTCCTAAAGTTCGGCCCGAAGTTCATTCTTTCTAAGCATTTGTACAAAAAATACATGTTCACGTGATCGTAGGCTTTCTCGAAGTCTATGAACACGAGGGTCGCGTTTTGTTTCAAGTGGTGGATCAGCTATAGAACCTGATGTACCAACAAACTATTTTTCTGTATGTTCCGATTCTTCATGAATTCAGTCTGGTCTGGGTGAATTACGTCTTCCATTATCGGGATCATTCGATTGGTCAAGGCTTTAGACAACATATTGTAGACCACCATGAGTAGGGTGATTGATGTTCATTTTGTCCCCCTTCTTATATAGCAGGGATAACACTCATTGACCTACCACCTCTCCCATCTCCTCTGTGTGCCAGACTTCCTCGTAGAACTCCGTGATATCGTTGCCCATAAAGTCCCAAGTAGTTTCCCGAAATTCCTTAGGAAAACCATCAATTATTAGTGTCTTCTCTTCTTCCATTTGTAAGAGGGTTGCGCATACTTCCTGCTTGGAGAGAGGGGCTTCTAGAAGTTCTCATTGAGCCTTAATATACTACAAGTTGTCTGAAAAATCCCAGAAGCCCCTGGCAATGACACACTCCCACCAACGGTGCAACCAATCCTCTAAACAAAGGGGTGGGGCACGCTTCGCAGAGAGTAACTGTTGAGAGTTGCATACCTTTCTCTCAGCACCACATAGGCATGGGGACACAACTGTGTAGAGGTAACCATTGCAGTCCTCCAACCTTGGTCTCAAGTGTAGAGAGAATAAATTAAATCCGGATAAAGAAAAGTAGTCACTTGGATGGTAGTAGATTCAGGTTGAAAGAAGGCATCCTCGACTGCCATCTGAGTGACAGATTGACCTTTGGGTTGGATTCGAAACTAAATGTTCTCAAAGGCTCGGGAACGAGTCCACTATAATATAATGTCATAAATCTAAGATCAATTTATGACAAGTTGCTTATAGAGTTTAGATGGTTGCACTTCGTGCCTAAAGAGAACCCAAAGGCAGACATGAAAAAACTGCGGGAAAATCAATTTTCACTTCGGGATTGGTTTAGGAGCTTCCATAGTAGTCTCCTGTGGACCCTCGGTCAACCACAATGGAGGGGAGCCATTTGGGTTAAATTGGAAACTGTGTCTCATCTTAGCAGAGTACTCTGTGATAGGAGCTCCGAGTCTGGTCACCCCACCTGTTCGGTTTGTGATTTGTCAGCGATAGTTGCAGACATCTACATTCCAGTTCTGTACAGGTATGACATGCATAAGTAAGCTGGAAGGAGGAGTCTCCATGTTTGGTCTTCTTCTGCTCCACTCGTACTTCTTCTTGCATTTTCTCTGACAAAATGCTATGAGGTTCCTCAGTTTGCTGTTGTCTGTCTTCCTTGAGGGTCCATCCCGAGGCTTCAATTGTATTGTCAACTCCAATCTTCTCAATTCTGAAAAAAAAATGGCCCTATCAGGGCACTTGAACCATTGCTGCTCGCTGAATTTAGTAACAGGATCGGAGAGAGTACTGCACCATGATATAGGTATCGCAAATATCCGATCGGAAGCTGTGTAATCCCACTTGCCCTAAACATGGGAGAATCTATCTGATTTCATCTTCTATTTTCCACCTTAGTTCGTCCTCCCTCCAGATATGGGGTATCAACCACACCCCTTTCCGCATCCATCGGGGTCCCAAGTTACTGGGGGACTTTGCAACTCAGAACGGGATACCGGTTTAATCTTTGAGGGAAAGGGTTTTCATAAAGACAGGAGTTGGGAATTTTCAGTTTGGTGTTCGAGGGTTCCAGCAGTTGAGGGAGCAACTTGCCCCATTCCTTGAGGATGGGGGTCAAGGTGCTACTGGTAGTGGGGAGGTGAATGTGCGCATGAGCAGTGGTTGCCTGACGCCGTATGGGTTCGATAATCCCCATTCAGCAAGAGTATATAATTGAAATGCGATATAATCATCCATGGTTGAAGTTCGGTGGCTAATAGAGCTCTCACTGCCTATTTTGCCAGGAGGGTTCTACTCTGGGTTTGGGGGTCGAGGACCCCCAGTCCCCCTTCTTTCCATTTCTCAGTAAGTTTGCCCCAAAGTACTTTGTTGAGGGTCTTTTGGGCTTTGGAATTGCCATTCCATAGCCAGTGAGATAAAAGTTTGGCAAATATTAGTTGTTGTAGATGGCGAGAGTGCTCTGATGGAGAGGATATACCATGTCTTAGAATAAATGACGGTATTAATTACCATAGCACACGACAAAAAAGGAAAGAAATAGGGTGTTGGACCATGTGGAGCAAGCGTCCCTAATTCTATTTTTCACTATTGTGTCTTATTTGTTGGAACAATCGCCAAAGGATACTTGGATGCCCAGGTACCTCTCGGAATCTGTTTGGGCTTTGACTGGTTTACCCACCGACTTATCATATTACAATTGTTATGAAATCAAAAAATAAAATTCCACAATAATTTTATTTTTATTTCTTCTGTATTAAAAGACTAAGTCTAATGCAAGTGTCCCTGTGGGGTGAGGGCTACCAATTTCAGCCAACTTACCCTTATTTAAGAGGTTTTCTCATAGGCAGAAAGACATTCCTCTAGGGCAGACAATGATGTCACCGAGTTATTTGAGATGACGGAAAAATCATTTGTTAATGCAGATACTTTAATGGAGAAAGATGGATAAATTTGCAGACCAGTGAAATTTGGATGACTTCTTACCATGTTCATTAGTATTTCCAGTTGGATGGCAAACAATGACGGAGCCAAGTAGCATCCTTGGCCGAGGGATCGCGTGACTCTGAAATAAGAAGAGGGACAGTCATTAACTAGTACTCTCCCTGAGGAGGCACTGTATAGTGCATTGACTAAATTGCAAAAGTTCGGGTCAAAGCCCACCCTTTGTTGGGTTGTCTGCACAAATTGTCAATTCACTTTATCGCTAGCTTACCAGGGCGGACGTCCAGGACCCCTCTGGATGTTCGACTTGTCCGGTCAGACAACTGGGGAGATGTCCTACCAAAAATCATTTTTTTTTTTTTAGGTTCTTCCTTACATAAGGTATATGCCACAAAATGGTTGACTCATTTGAGCCCATAGAAAAAAAGATAAAAATCGCCAAAGATGTCTATGTCAATTTCAATCAAACACTTATATATTATGGGGGTCAATTTCAATCTCGCACCCCAACTTACTCCCTAGAATCCCTTTTTCCCCATGTTTTGCATTTTATTTCTTTTTGCATCAAATGAGCTGGATTTTTTTTTATTTTATGGGGTCACCTCATGTAGCGCAACCCCTCCCCCTTTTTTGTTTTGCTTTTTTTATAGAGAAAACGAGTTGTCCGGGATTCCGGACAACTCTGCCCAAGTTGTCCACTAGATATGTCCGACCAGGACCTCTCCGGATCGGACAACTAGTAACCTAGCTTTATCGTATGCTTTATGAAAGTCAATTAGTATTACCGCTTTATTTAGTTTGTGTGTGTTAATCCAATCAAGCGATTGAGAAATGGTCATGACATTGTCAAGGTATTGACACCCTGGCACGAAGCCTTATTGGTCCGGGTGGACTAGTTTGTTTAGGAATGGGATCAGGCGGTGGGTTAGTGTCTTAGGGGTGGATTATTCCATCAACATTCAGGAAAGAAATCGGCCGATAATTTCTCACATCACTCTTGTTCCCCTTCTTGAAAAAGAGGGTTATGATTCCTTCCGTTGTTCTCGGTCCCAATTTCTCGCCATCCAAAATCTGATATTCTCAATAGGTTCGGTGCCAACAGCGGCCAAAAACGCTGGTAGAATTCTAACAGGAGGTCATCTAGACCGGGGCACTTTCCCTTTGCCATGTTGTTGGTAGCCCCAATGAGTTCAGACATCGTGACTGATTCCTCCAAGGACGTTGACTCCTCGTCCAGGAGGATCTTCCTTGCAAAAGAAACAGGACGAATCAAACCACTTTTTGGGCTTCCCCTTCCCTTGGGGGTTTGGAATGGATGGTACCCCCGCCGCTTCAGTGGCCTCCTCGTAACATAATGGCAATCCCATGCAACCCTGAGATGCGGGCTCCGCGGCCCCGGCGTCCTCACTACCTTGTGCGCCCGCGTTCCCTGACCTATACTCAGGTGTATCTAGTCTCTGGGGTCTCTCCAGCGGCATGTCTACCTCCATGGCTGCCACTAGCTCGTCCAAACGAGATGTTTCCTCCTCCATAGTCTCAGGCTTAGTTGGCACCACTGCCCCTGTAAGGGTACCTCCCCGTACCTCCAAAAGGATCGTAGGGGACTCCTCTGCGGAACCTTTTTCTGCTGGTGGAGATTGGGGTCTTTCAGTTGGCTCCTTTGCAGGGGTCTCGATCGGCATAGGGGTCACCTGCTGCGGGGCTAACTCTATGAGAGCCTTGAAGCTAAAACTCTTCTCTTCGGCTTTCCTCCTCGCCTCTGCTTCCGTTGGATCCAGGAACACCTTCTTTATCTCTTTCTGTTGGGGAGGCTCTACCGCCCCTCCCTGGCCAAAGAGTCCCTGCACCCTCTCACCCTGGATACCATATCTGCTCTGCTCTGTCCAATCGACCACCTTGGTGGCCGAAAGCTTCTCCACATCTGCCGCCATATCTTGGAGCCTCTTTCCCCACTCAGCTTCCCTAACTTCCATACGAGTTCTCTAGGCTCGATTCTCTGTCTTCTCCTCCGCTAGTTGAGTAGATAGCTGCTCCACCTCCAATTTCGCAGCCACCAGCTCATCACTGAGCAGGGTATATCGCTGGAATTGACGTGGTCGCCGCCTGGCGTATCGTTCTCTTTGCTCGCTCGATCACCATCCTGGCGGCGGAAAATCCCAAGTTTTCAGTCTCTCTTATCTCGTCCGCGCTCTCGTCTTCCTGTCCGGCCTCTCGCGACCTCAGGCGGGCGACATCCCTCCTGCTCTCGTACCTAGCCCACATCTCGTCGATCCTCTGCTCACTCGTCCCGGGATCGACCGGCGGCGTTGGCGCCACACCTGCAGCCTCCATCCTAACTTTCTTCTCATATATCTCCGCGAGGCGAGCCTGCACCCTGGCACACTTCTCCTCAACCATCTCTCCCGGTGCTCTCCCTGTCCGCGCCTCGTGGGTCTCTCGAGCCGGAGCATCAGCACTCACCCCTCCCTCTACATGCGACAACTCTGGCGGCAGCTCACCGGACACGGCCATCTCAATATCCGCGTGCTCGACAACATGCTCGGCTAACCACGAGTTGACGGTCGTACGTGGCCCCGCTCTTCCGTCCTCCTCCTTCCCCCCTGTCTCTGCCACCTTCCTGGGCGAAGTGATAGCCTCCGAAGCAGGTGTTGAAACCTCTCCACTATCTGGCTCAGGAATCCCTTCTGGCCAGGGCTGCCGTACCTGCTCCGGGACCGGGGTATGAGGAGGAGTGTAGCGGACCTCAGGTTGGCCTGTGAGACCAGCCCCTTGGCCTGTTCTCACAGGCCTGTGTTGTATTCGGGGTAGGCCAGTCCAGGCCGGTGCCTCTGTCGGTACCAGCCAGTCCAGTCCAGTCTTGTCAGTCCGCTGGGGTATACCCCAGCCATTGTCTGTTTTCGTCTCATTCTTCACTTGCACATTTGGAGTACATGCGTTGGAGTCTTGCGTGGGGAGCTGCGCTGTGCACCTTGCTCCCTCCTTCTTCCTCCATCTCCATCTCTGTCACTAGCGGAGCACCACACCTGGTGGGTCCGCTACATTGGTATCGGAGCGGGAACAGTCCCCGCCCCCACCCATCACACCGCACAACAGGGAAATACGGCAAAACCCGACAGTCGGGTTTTTGGCTGTTTTTCGGCCGTTTTCGGGCGAAAAAGCGGGAAAAACAACGAAGAAAGGTGTTGCAGCAGGAGAACTCCACGTGGCGAAAAAGGAAGCCGCATCACGACGCGTGGCGCTTGCTCCACGTGGCGAAAAAGGAAGCCGCATCACGACGCGTGGCGCTTGCTC